AATCATGATTTATAAATTAAGCGCAGATGAAGCAACGCCGGGTGGTTGAGCCTTCCCCATTTCGGAAAGAGCCTCACTTATAAATTATATACGTTTTAGTCTAAATGAAAATTGCTGTAGGACAGCATTTGGTCACAAACTGCAGGATTGGGTTATGCCAGCGGCTTTAACTACCAACTGTAAATATGCCAGAAAAATGGAGGTTTGCTTGAGAAAACATATTTAAAGCATTATAGACTGGCTCTGAAGGAGGAAGCCTGTCAGAATAAATACTCCATGAATGCTGTGCTTGGAGCCCCGGGGAGTATTATTCTTATATAAATGATTCCTACTCTTTAGGGAGAAACCACTGCTATTTTCCCTCAATTTTCTTAATTGCTGACAAGAGCGACTGTGTTAGTCCAGCAGAAACTCGCATTTTCAAGGCCTTTGAAAGCTTTCCGTTCTTTGCTTTACAGTGCAGCCAGTGCCGGGGGGGACAGCGGGAGATGAAAGCCCTGTTTCCGCGCTGACCTCCCCCTGGGACCGCGCGTTCGTTGCTGCATGTGGTCTGCGTTACATCTGATACGGGCCAGTTCCCGAGAGCTCGCGCAGCTGCGCTGCGGGGTGCAGGTACCCGTCACCAGCTGGGGCTTAGATCCTGGGTTTGGACATGGGTAAGGCAATTTTGAAAAACTGGAAGACTGCAGAGCTAGAAGAGATCGCTACAGAATCACAGCAGGGCTCCGACCGGGACCGGGAGGTGCATGGGGAAGATGTGCTAATTGGGCCCTGCCCACCGGCCATGCTCGTTTTCCCCTGTCTCGAGCTGGCCGGCTCTCCTCCTCATTTGCAGACGGGGTAACTGCAGGGCTGGGGAGGGCAGGTGATGCCTCCCCTCAGGCCAGAGCGGCTGCTGGGCGCAGCGTAACGAGGCTGCGGCGTGCCAGCGGCCGGGCGCTCGCTCCTCGGCCGCCCACTCACGCTGCAACATCGGAGCTAGACGGGGGCTCGGATGAATCAGGATCGTGGACTGGGTTGGAGCTTGCGGAACACTGGCTTCCCCTCTGTCATGGGTGTGTGGATGGAAGCTTCCAGCTCTCGTGCATGCTGTTAGCGTGCACTATTATCTTTAATTTTTTCTTTAATTTGCTCTGTTGCAGGTTAGCATTGCCACCCCGAAACAGAAGCCAAAAACTCCGTTCTGCTTTGGTGAGTGAGGGGGACACTGGTGGGGCTCTGCCAGGGAGGACACCCCACCACAGGAGGCTGTGGCATAGGTGCCTCCCCCATGAGCCCTCCCGGCTGCTGCTGGACAGAGCCGTGGGACCTGCCTGCATCGTCCTTGCGGTCGGGGAGGGAAGGGGATGCTGCCATCGCCAGGCCTGTTGTGCCAGAGGGCCAGCGCAGGGCCCTGTCCCCATGCAGTGGCCCTGTCACTGTGACCCCCCACACGAGATGCATGGGCAGAGCCTGGTGAGGGAGGCAGGACCCTATGGGTCCCCTCTGTGAAGGTCCCCTGCAGGGACCCCGGCTTTTGCTGTGCTCCTGAATCCTTTCCGTGTGTTCCGTTGTGCTGCACTACATTGTGCAATACAGGTGGTTTTCTTTCCTTTTTAATGCTGTCATAAGCTTCCGTTCCTGTTGGTGCAAGGAAGGGGTGTTTTGTGTCCAATTCCCCCCCACCCCAAATGGCCTCAGCCCGACCCACGCTGCCTCAGTGCCTTGTGCATGAGCCGTGAACTCAGGTTTAAAGCAACAGAAATGACAGCACAAGCACATACTTCTCCCAGGGGATCGGAGTTGCCTTTGCAATACTTTACTATGAGGGATGTAGCCCAAGACAAAGACCAGAGCACATGGCACATCCCCACGCGGGGACGGGGCTGCTCCGGAGGAGCCCGGTGTGGCAGAGCCCAGGGCACGAGGCTCGTGGGACTTTCAGCAAGACCTGGTGCGGTTAAAAATATCTCCAGCTTTTGGGTGCTGGAAATCCTCCGAGAGCTTCCTCTGACCTGTCTGGCTGCCAGCCAGGAGGCAGTGCTCACTGGGGAGTCTGCGGGGAGCATGTCCCCAAGGAGCTTCCCAGACCCGGCTTGGGGTTCGCACCAACATTTCGGATGAGAGTTAAAACCCAAGTGCTGAGTGAAGGAAGTCCCAAGGGGCCCTCAAACACCCCATGCGAGGGGGTAACTTCAGCACTAGATTAAGTCCTAGTTTGGGCCATGCCACAGCCTTGGTTTAAGCCTGTCTTCAGCCCTGCCCTCCCTAAGCTCTGGTGTAAGGATCCGGCTGACCAGCTGCCACGTGCCCCCTCCATGCCTGAGCGCTGGCCCCTCGGCTGCTTTTCCATGTGAGAGGTTACGAGACTGATATCTGCAGATGACTCTGGGACTGGGATTTGAGAGATGCTGTCTTGTTGACTTATTGTTTAATTTGTTTCAATAATGCTAAGCACTGAATGGGGTTCCCTAATTCTTCTTTTTGTTCCCTTCTTTGATAGTTATCAATGCTTTATCTCAGCGCTATTTCTTACAAGCCAGCGATCAGAAGGACCTGCAGGACTGGGTGGAGGCACTGAACCGGGCCAGTAAGATCACGGTAGGTTGCATTATGCTCATCTCTGGTGTTGCTGTGTCCTGCCTTGATGGGCCACTCAATAAACGCCTGGAAGAGCTGTGCTTTTCCTTCTTGCTGTGCTCTCCTCCTCCATTGCCTCCCTAGTCTCACCTGAGGAGCAGTGATGGTGGTGGCCGGGCTGTCCCCAGCCCGGGAGCAGGTCTGTGCCAAACTTGCCAGGCTTTTTTCTGGGTTAGTGCCGAGGCTGCACCAGGGAAGGATGGAAGCGCAGCTCTCGGCTGGTGGCTGCAGCGTCTTGTCTTCCTTCTGTAGCCCACTCTGCTTCTGGTGCCTCCCTTGTTTTGCTGTTGAGTGAAGGAACTGTAATATGGGGCTGTAGCTCCTGAAACCCCCTCATTCCCAGGGGAGCATGCCCTGTCCCCTGGACAGCCCCGCGAGAGTAGGGCTCTTACACAGACACTCCGGGGCTGTGTGCAGTTCTACCAGCACGCGGGGCTGGGCTGGTTTGGATCCGAGGGAGAAGTGCTCCGAGCAGAGGAGGGGCATACTGGCAATGCACCTTGTTAGCACGCGGGCTGAACGGCTTCGCCGTGTCCCTTTGCAAGGCCAGAGCTCCGCAGTGACCCCTCTCAGGGGTCTGGCTTCAGATGGGAGATGTTCCCTCCGCCATCCCCAGGGATCCTACTGGTCAGGATTTACTTTGCTGCTGTTTGCTCGTGCATCTTCGCGCTCCCTGCCCAGCTGCAGTGGGGGACAGCACTTGCACCCTGGGGAAGGTCCTGTGGGATCTGTGCCCATCCCTGCCTGCTCCGGGGACGTTTCCCTCCTGTCAGCTGGGATACCTGTAACTGACTCCTCACTGTGGCTGTCAAAGGGCGTCTTTCTTTTGCTTTAAAAATTGAGTAAATAAATTATTGTTCTTCCTGGGACACCAGGTCTTGTGACAAGGCGTAGCAAATGCCCTGCACTGTAGGGCATCGTAGGGTGGGTTGTGCCTGGATCCGAAGGAGTTTGTCTGCCATCTCCTCTCATTTACTGTTGTGTTCATACAACTGTAAATTAATGGTCACTGACCCAGTAACTTGCGAAGTCTGTGCTCCTCAGCTGCCCAGTGCTCCTGGCGATGAGGGTTGATGCTGTGCTCCCTCTCTCTTGCAGTGGGGGTAGAAGCACCGTCTGCACGCTGCGTGTTTGATGCTCAGTTGTCAGTGCCCGTACGCTGGGACTCCTGGGTTAGGCGTTCGCAGGACAGCTTCTTCCTGCACCTGGGATGTGGGGGATCCCTGCGAAAGGGTCAGGGGCACTGCAGGCTTCTGTGTACCTGGCATTAGCAGTATTGCCAATGTTTAATGCTAGCAGGGTTTTGCTACATCATGCACTGATGCATGTTGTTCGTGGTTTGTAAACTAAATATAAGGAAAAATCATGGCAAACAGTTTAGCATTAGGGCCTATCAAATAACTTTTTTTCTTTGAGTTTTTTGTTTAAAATCACTGGAGTGCTGTGTTGTAGTCCCTGTGGGAAACTCATCTACAAGTCCAGACCTGGCTTGTATTTTCTTTTTTTATCTGCAAATACATTAAATATGACAACCTCTGCACCTGAAGCCACCAAACTGACTGCACAGGCTCTGGCTTGTACCTTCTCTCTTATGGGTTTAGGTGATATTGGCCACAAAAAACCCACCTCCAAAACTGGGTAGGAGTTGTAACCAGAGCCTGCCAGCGACATTTGTCTAGGGGTACCACCGGGGTAGTTTCCTCCAGGGTAGTTGCCTACAGGCAGCCCGTGTTGCTGATCTGCCAGGCTGGCTGAGGTGGGAGCTGGTGTGACAGCAGGAAGACACATCTTCTGTTTCTGCAATAAACCGGGGTGATTTTCATACCCTGATGTTGACCAGCCCTTCCCGGCTCTGACTGTATCCCAGCTGGCCGACCAGCTCATCCAGCCCTGCAGGGAGGAGTTCTCGCAGACTGGCTGGGAAACACAGGGCTACTGGGATGTGGGTGATGCTGCTTCTCTGCCCTGCGTGGGAAATCCCTCTCCCGCTCTGCAGCTTCCCATAGGTCTCTGTTTGTGCCTGGGTTTCCTTGGGCTGCTCCGAGTTGCAGTGGCTTCATCACCTTGGCATGGGTGGGGGAGCACAGAAGGGCCACGGGGAGTTGTTCTGGCTTTTGGCAGGGTTTTGACCCTTACCAGCCTCTGGCCTTTGAGTGGTCTCCCTCTCCCTCTGCGTGGGGTGCATCACACCAAGCACACTCATGTGCGCTGTATGTTCAGTGCACGCTGCCGCCGGCTGAGCCACTCACCGTGGTGGGATGGGAAGGATGGGGCAGCAGTTCGGGTATTGCTCCTGGTGCAGAGATCCAGGTTCATCTTCTGCTTCTCACAGAGACTTCTCCTCTGCTCTTGGCAAATCAGTTCCTGTGTGTCCTCACCCTGCATGCTGTCTTTGTAGCCAGGGCCTTGGCAGCTGAAGGCGTGAGGCGTGCAGTGAGCTGGTGTGACCGTGACAAGGGACTCTGCTCAGTTCTGCACGAGGAGGCTCGAGCTGGCGGCAGCACTGCCTTGTGCCGGGCGCCGAGCAGCACCTTCCTCCTTGCACTGCTGCCTGCAGAGAGATGCAGCTCCTTCCTTCTGCCCCTGCCCTGCTGCCCGTGCACACAATGTCTCTGCATCTGCGTTGTGAAACCGTTTCCTCTGGCCGGGTGGCCTGTGCCGGCTCCCCAGCCTCGCCGCGCACCCGCGTCGTGCTCGCCTGAGTTGCCAGGGCAGGCAGCTAGTGAGTGCCGGTGCCCGTGGGCGCTGGTGCTCTGCACAGGGCCATGCAGCGCAGGCGTGCGGGAGCCTGCCATGGTCTGGCCCCTCACTCTCAGGGCAGCGGCATTTCTGAAGCAGGAAGCGAGGAACGTGCCACTGCTGCCTGCCCCCTGCCCGGCGCTGCCTGCCCCCTGCCCGGCGCTGCCTGCCCTGTCAGCTGAGCCTGGCTGTTGGCGAGAACCCGGGGCTCTGTGTGGGCAGCGTGACCAGGATCTCGTCCTTGGCCCTTCCTCCTCTCCTGCCAGACCTCTCCTGCTTGCGGGTTCGTGAGGTCTTAGCACAGACTTCTGCCCCCTGAGACTTAAGCCAGGTCTCAGCCTAAACACGAGTCCAGCCGTCTGCCTCGGGAGGGACTTTAGAGCAGCTGAGAGCTCTGCTCTGCCCAGCCAATAGCCGATGATGCATGGTGCAGTTTGCATGGAGAGGACTGCGTGTCACTCCCTGTGCACTTTGGGGTGGAAGGCAAGAGGGTGGGTTGGAGCCAGAGACCGCAACTAATGGCATTAGAGAAGTGGAAGTGCAGACTTGGGAAGGAAAACTTGGAAACCCGCCTTTCTGTCCAGAGCTGGGTGCTGGAGGGAAGGAGCTGGGAGGGGGAAAGCGAGGATGCTGGCGCCGGGAGCTGGGTCCCTGTGGCACAGCCTCTGCCCAGGGATGTGGGACCACTCGCAGTGGAGACACAACCTGCCCGGCTGCGCGTTGGTGCAGGATGCACAGGCGTTCGGTGTATAAAGTAGCGCCTGGCTGTCTGCCGTGCCCCTGCTGACGTGCTGCAGCTCAGCCTCGTTAGGCAGACAAAAGCTCATCATTAAGCGTAGCTGTAAGTAGAGCGGGAACAATTAAAGGAGCAAGTGAGTGTCCCACAAAGCATTGGGCTGCAGAGGCAAGTCGCAGACTCATGTGAGGTGATGCTTAATTATTCACCACCTCTCATCTCCCATCTCGGTGCCTCCTGCAAACCGCCTGGGTGGGGCCCACACCCTCCTTAATTGGGGTGGCTTGTTCATTTATTATTTTTTAAAGGAACATTGCTGCATTTAGGCTGGAGAACAGAGACAATGGTGCCCAGAGCAGGTGTGGGGCTGCCTGGCATGGTCATGCCTGTGTGCTTCACCCCCTTTCTTTCTCCTGTAGGTGCCAAAGGGTGGTAGCATCCCACCGGCCACGGAGATCACGAAGCCTCCAGTGGTGCCCCAGGCCCAGGATAGGAAGCCCCAGGTGGCCTACAAAACTGAGATCATCGGGGGGGTGGTGGTCCACACACCCATCTCCATCAACCAGGTGAGCTGGCAGGATCTGTGCACTGTCCCAAATGCTGGGGGTAAAATCCCTGTGACATCAGCACCTTGTTTTGGTCTCTCTGTTCCCTGTGTTTTAAGAGCAGCTCCTAATGGGGATAAGCAGAATAGGTGGCAGCTTTCTCCATGCGTAGCTGGGCGAGGCCATTCCCACCACACCCCGCTTTGATGTTGCTGCACCTCGCTGCCAGGGGCCCTTCGGTGCTTGAGCACCACCTTTGAGTGGTCCCTGCCCGCTGGGTTTTGTGTCTGGCTCCTGCTGCTGTCGTTGCCCTGCCAGCAAGGGTGTGCTGCCTTCTGAGTCGAGCGGAGTGAGGGTGCCTGGGTCTGCAAATCACTTGTTGCAAATGATACTCAGATTTCTGCGTTAGGAAGGGAGAGCACAGGGAAAGCGAGTGTCTGGGTGTTTTTATTCCTTTACCATCCTGCTGTGCCCCGCCAGTACTGAGCAGTGCAATAGACAGAGAAATACTGTCTATACACAGCAGTGATGGGCTCTGTCCTTCTCTAACCTGCATGTCAGAGTAGCAGAGCTTGTGGACGTGGGTCCTGCGGCCTGGCGCTGGGCTGGGGCATTGGGTCCAGGAGTCTGGGGGAGCTCTGGGGGTCTGGGGGAGGTCCAGCCATGGGGCTGGAGGCAGTTGCTAGTTTGGGCTGTTGGGAAGGCTGGTTTGCACTTTCATTTCTGGAAACCGGCTTGGTGCCTGCAAACCCTTCCCACTCAGGGGTGTATAAATAGCTGCACTTAGCACCCTGTAGCACCTCTCCTTTGTCTTGCTCTGAAGTGTGATGAGACAAGGGGGTGTGAGGAGGAGGAGGCAACGAATCTGCTCAGCTTCCTGGCCATCCCGCACCATCTACCCACACGTCCTGGGTCCAAATCCCCCATCAAGGTGCCCGGGGCAGAGGGACTCCATGTTGCTGCCCCCATCAAAGCAGCTGAACGGACTGACCTGTCCTGGAGGCGGTGGCTGACACTGCTTGCCATGGCTCTGCACCCCCTTCCCTCGGCACGTGGCTGGGTGTGCACGTGGTGTCTCCCACCTTTGGGCACTCATCCGGCTCTGGGGCTCACTTCAGCTCTTATCAGTGGCAGCACTAAAAATAGAGCAGAGAATTAGATCATTGCAGTGCTTTTTTTGCTGGCAGGCACTTTTAACGCTTCCCTGGCCACAGGGTTTGTTGGGGAGCGGGGTGCAGAGGTGTGTGGGGTGCAGAGGTGTGTGGGGTCGGGGCTGCTCCCAGGGTTGGGCTCTCAGCTGTCCCTTCCCGGTGCTGCTGCCCCGTGGGATGCTGCTGGACCCTCAGCCCCATGTGTGGGGTGGGGAAGGGCAGGGAAGACTGTGCCTCCCCCCTGCTTCCCCGTGTGCCGTGCAGCCGGGGCAGCCTGGCTGCCTGCTTGCAAACAAGTGGCAGCAGCCATCCCTGTGACTTTTCTTTTTTGTTTCAGTGAGTTAAAGCTGCTCTTTCCTCCTGACTCTTGAGTCTGTCTCGCTATCCTCCCCTGCCACCACCTCCCGAGAGCCGCGAGCTCCACCCTCAGCCCTCGCCCGATTTCTTTCTTTCACCGAGGGGTTTTTTAAAGGTGGTGCATCAGCTGCTGGACTATTTTCTGTGCTCTTGCAGCTTGCACTGTGTGAAAGGCGATTCCTCCACTGCAGCTTCCTGGGCGCGTTCGTGGTTTCCTGGCTCTGCCCCGGCCAGCCGGTGCTGCCCTGCAGTGGCTCTGGGACTGCAGCGGGGAGCCCCACGCTCTGGCTGCACCCCCAAACCGTCCTGCAGCATCGCCCCGGCTCCTGGGTGTAATGCTCCCTATCGCAGCAGCATCCCCATCTCTGGTTTTGGACACGTACATCTGTAACGCTCGGCAGAGCCAGTGCAGCCCAGGCGAGGGAAACGGGCGGTTTCCTCTGCTCCACCGCTCTCCGGAGGTGCCAGGCGGCAGTTTGGGGCCAGCCAAATGGCTGCTTGTCTCTGTCCTGGAGAGACCAAAGCAGCCTCTCGAAGGTGCTGGAAGGAGCAGTGCGGGCAGGTCGCTGGTTAACCGCACTGGCAGTCTCACCGGCGCGGGTGCCATATAAGGCTGGTGGCAGCAAGAGCCACCCCAGCTGCCATGGCAATTCTCAAACCTCAGCACAGAGCTGGAGGAAGGGGTTGGAGGGATGGGGGAAGGAGGTGAGCACAGATGTTTCATCTCAACCATCCTCTGTGCTGCTGAGGGGGAAGGGAGGGCGCTGCCGGGGAACGGGGCGGCGTGGGGGAGAGAGGGGTGATGCTGGCAGCAGGACAGGGTCTGGCCCTTGGGGTGCACTGGGAAGTGCTCGGGGTGAGCCAGGGGATGGGTGCTGGATGCACGGCCACGTGCACAGCTCGTCTGTGCTCATAGCAGCAATCGTTGTGCTTGGGGAGAGGCAGCGCAGGGCCAGGGGAAGTGCGAGTTTTCTACCTGAACTCTAAACGTCACAGGTTTTTTTGGGAGAATTTGGCTGTGAAAATGTGGAGTGGAGACTTTATGGCTTTCCTGAGCAGTTTGTTCCCATGATATATTGCCTTCTCCAGTTGGAAAGCATCCCTGCTTTCCAACTTGGGTTTGTCTGGCTCCAGCTTCCAGCTGGTGGTTTTTGTTCTGCCTCCCTCTGCCAGATGAAAGAGCTCCTCGTACCTTGTGTTTCTCCCTGAGAAGGTCTGTGGTGCAGTTGAGTCATCTCTCGGTGCTTGATAAGCCAGGCAGATGAGGTCCTTTAACTCCCCTGCTGCAAGGGATTTTCTTCAGCCCTCAAATTGCTTTTCTGTAGCCTTTCCAATTTCTTACCATTGTTTTTAACATGTGGGCGCCAAAAGAGTGAATAGTACTCAGGCAGCAGTCTGAAAAGCTGCATGCAACGAGATAAAACCAGCTCTCTACTCTGGTTCATTCCCCTGCTCATGTCCAGGCATTGCAATTAGCCCTTGGCATGCAGCACTGCGCTCAGGGCTTGCTTCGGGTTGCTTCTCCCTCCAGCTCAGGTGTCCTGCCTTCTAGCAGGGAATTCCCCTCCCTGCTCTCTCTGTGCTCCCCCGTAACTCTGTGCTCTCTGGTTGCAGAATGGGGGGGACGGAGGGGAGGGCAGCGACGTGGCTGCCCACCCGCTGCTGCGGCGCTCACAGAGCTACATCCCCACCTCGGCCGCCAAGCCGCCCGCCGGGCCCCCCGTCCTCAAGAGCGGCTACTGCGTGAAGCAGGGGAACGGGATGAGTGCTGGGGATCCCCTGTGCCGTGGGCAGCGGGGTGCCTCAGCTGGGTGGGTGGCGGTGGGCTGGCTGCTCCCCCGTGGGTCGGGGATGCTCCAGGGATGCTCTGGATGCTGGACCGTGACAGCATGGGCAGAGCGCCGGAGCCCAGCACCAAGCAGTTTCCTCTTCTCTTTTCCAGAGGAAGAGCTGGAAGCGCCGGTACTTTGTTCTGGATGAATTTTCCATCAGTTACTACAAGTGTGAGCAGGTGAGCAGCCCCCGCCTGGGACCGGCTGTTCCCAAGCAGAGGTCTGGGGCTGCTGCACTCCCGTGCCGGTGCGGGCAGCTCCATGGGAGGCACATCCCAGCGCTGCCAGCCCCAGGGGCCAGCCAAGACCATCATTGTCTCCTCTCGTCTCCACAGGACAAGGAGCCCTTGCGTTCAATTCTCCTGAAGGACGTCTGCAAGACCCACGAGTGCCTGGTCAAGTCTGGGTAATGCTCCCATCCGTGTTTCCCTGGACTGCAGTTCCTGCTGTAGCCCTCGGTTGTGCTGGGCCCAGAGCAGCTAATGGGAGCTCTGGCTGCTCCGGCTGCTGGTGGGAAGCAGCTCCTGGAGGAGCTGAACTGGAGGAGGGCAGGAAGGAAACTCGGCTCCCTACTTTGGGGAGCCCAGAGGGCCCCAAACAGCAGCTGCTGCTGCGAGCTGGGGCCAGGCTGAGCTGTGCTGCCACTCGCTTTTCTTTTACAACCCCGTAACCCAAATGTCGCCTCTTTGTTTTGCTTTTAAGAAATTTCTTCCCCTTCAGTTCCATGAGCAGGTCGGGGAAATGTGGCTGGATGCAGGATATTGTCCGTCCTCTGTTCTGGTGCTGATAGCCATCTCTGTTGGACAGGCGTGCTCCTACAGCTCTCTTATCTCCATAGATTAAGGAGTATGGGGCCCTGCACAGTAAATAGCGTCGTATGACAGAAGAACAAAGGTGTTCATAAAGCTGCCGAAAGCTGTACATAGGCATTTTCCTTAAACTAGCACAGGTGGCTACACAATGTCTTGGGAGCAATTTATTGCAGCAAATGCTGATAAAATCAAAGTGACTTGGAGACTTGCAATGGAAAATGAACTAAGAAAACAAACCTCTTTAGCAAAAGTAAAAATATATTTTATTAATATATCTTTGAATTTTTATTCTTAATAAGTAATAGAAAGTTCACATTTAAAATGAACTGCAAATGAGATGGATTACGGGTCTGGGGAGGGGCGGGGGTTTGCCTGCAGGCAGCAGAAGCTAGAGTGTGTTTGTAGCTGAAGGTCTCTGGGGAGCTGGAGTCGTCTTCTCAAAACCCCGATGAGATCCAAGGTTTGCCTTCAATATGTTTTTCCCCAGCACACTCTAGAGATGAGGGTAAATACGGATTTTTTTTCCATCCATGATGACTTCTGGGTAGTGACTGTCTCTTTCTCGCTGTTTGTAGTGACCTCCTGATGCGGGACAACCTCTTTGAAATCATAACGAGCTCCAGAACCTTCTACATCCAGGTGAGAGAGCCGAGGCGGGTTTGCTTTTCTGTGCAGCATCTTCAGCTCTCCACAGCTCATGCAAGCCATGTTCCTGCAAACAGGCTGTTCCCCAGCAGCCTCACAGCCAGCAAACACAAGCAGATGAGTTTGTAACAGCTTCGCCTGGCGTCGGGGCACAGGCGGCGAGGGAGAACTGCCAGGCGGTTTCACTTCTCCCCTTGGGCTTATTTATAATAGCAGCTATTTGTGTGAGCAGGAAAAAGCAGAGGCAAAAGCACAGGGCGATCCGATGAGCATCCCGAGTGCACAGGGCTGTGTCTGCACCTCCTCTGTCCTGCAGATTTGGCCAGCCCTTTTCCACCATGGGGAGGGGTATTAAATCGGTCTCCCCGTTGCTGGCTGAGCTGGGCAGGGGGAGGCAGCAGATGGGGGATGCTGTGCGTGGTGCTCTTGGCATTTGCAACACCCCTCAGCGCTTGAGAGTCCCCAAAGAGCAGCCAGGGCACTTGTGCCATGCCATGCAGTGGATGCACATCCCCACCTGCATGGGCAAAAGCCCCAAACTCTGCTGCCCAGAGAGCACAGCCCCAGGTGGGCTCGTGGCAGGATGCAGACCCCGAGCCTCTGCCAGTGCAGGGGCAGGGATGGGACACCCCCCACTTTTCCTTAAATGCTTTATCTGTTCCTGATACAAAAATGCTGCAATGTGGAGAGTGGCTCCCCTTCTGCGGGGGGAGATGGGGTGGTGCAGTGATTTTTAAGCAAGCATAAATTAGTAGCAAATGTACTGGGAACCACGGCAGCCTGTCCACCTGCGTGTCCACGCTTTGCTGCGGGGATCAACTCTGGCTGCACCGGGGGCTTGCAGAAGGCGAAGTCTCATTTGGGCTGGTGTGTTCTGCAGGCAGACAGCCCCGAGGATATGCACAGCTGGATCCGAGTAATCACAGGGGCAGTCCAGGCCCTGAAAACCCGCCCGAGGGTAGGTCATGTCCTTTCTCCTTCATATTTAGTGTCAAATGAAGATCATGCCAATGTACAAGATATTTATTTAGGGGCTTGTGTAAGTGCTCGGTTAGCCCGTTTCCAGGATGAGATCCCTGCCCTCTCTGGGTTTGTTTGCCAGTCACTGGAAGAGTGTCCTTGAAAAAGATTGAAAAGTGAGGTTCAGCCATCGAACTGGACCTGCGTGAACCCTGCTCTGCTCCGAGGCACGAGCGAGAGCCCGACTGCTGACAAAGGGCCATTGAATTCAGACTTTCACTTTGCTTAGGGTTTTTTTCCCTTTCTGCAGAGCATGTGAAGGGCCTGGTCCTGGTCCCCAGGGCTTTGCAAATTGCTCACAGCAGTTGCACACACAAAAACCCAACCCTAGCCAGAGCTCACTCTGCGTCTGTCCTTGCAGGAAATGTCCTTCATGAGATCCACCTCCATGGTCAAGCCTGGGGGCTCCACAGCCCCCTCCCAGCACAGGCAGGCAGCAGAGGAGAGGAGAGCGCTGTGCAAAGCCCCCTCCATCTCCTCCTGGCAGCCCTGGACGCCGGTGCCGCAGGCGGAGGGGAAGCAGCCGACGCCGGAGGAGGCACCCATGCTGCTGAGAGACTCGATGTTCGTACCAGCCTTCACGGAGCGTGATGCTGGAGCCGCGCTGGGCAAGCGCGTGCGGCACAAGTCAGAGCCGCAGCATCTCAAGGAGAAGCCATTCGCCTTCGATCTGGATGATGAAAGCATCCGGACCTCCGACGTCTGACCGGGCGCTGAGCCACCCCCCGGCTCCGTGCGCTGCCTCCCTGGCCACCGGTGGTCCCCATGGGGTGGTTCAGGGCACGCAGCTGTGCCGGGCCCGGGCCAGCTGGTCTCCACACATCCACTCAGCGCCTCGGACCGAGCTCACCCCGTCATCTCGGCAGGGGTGAAGTGCCCCTTCCCTCCACCGCTGCTCTTCCCTGCGATACAGGATCCGGCTGGACCCGCGTCCCGGCACCCTGCTCTGCCGGGGAGCGGGGTCCCTGCCTGCTCCTGCCTGGGCTTTGCCCCGGGTGCAGCCCAGGTGGCTCTGTGTTTCGGAAGCTGCCTCCAGGCAGGGCGACCTGGAGGTGCCTCATGCTGCCATCGCTCGCTGTGCAGGACGGGAAGCGCTGGTCCTCAGCATGGCCTGGCGCAGGGGCATCCTCTTCCGCAACTGTGTAATTTCCCCCAGAAAAAAAGCCTGGAGGAAGCAGCAGGAGGTCTCAGAGGTGTGAAGGGGAGTGTGGCCTTTCTTGTGTTTGGAAAAACATTTTTCTCCCCTTTTGTGCTGCTCAGCCTTCCCTGGGCAGCCTGGGCAGAGCCAGGCAGACGCCAGCCCGCAGCTGCCTGCACAAGGGACACGCTGCAACTTCCCGTTTTGATGACTTTTTCCCTAGGAGACCAGCTCTTTACGCTGCCTGACTAGTGATGTATCGACAAATCTGTTGGCTTTTAATTACGTCTTTTTATATCTGTGTCCACTGTTAAGCCCCAGCACTGGCAGGCTCCCTGCTCAGCCTCTCCAAAAGGCTTATTGGTACTTTCTGAGCGTGAGCCTGGGCAGGCAGCTGGTGCAGCAGTGGCTCCCGGGGACCGGAGGATCCTCAGGTATGGTGTTGATTTTGCACGGCATACATCTGGGTACCAGAAAGCCGTGCCCAGGCGGTGAAGTGCTTTTAGCAAAAAGCAACGAAAGCCGAGTGTGTAAATGAAACTGGGAAGACTTGTCCAACCAACTCGCCTGCTGCCTGCCTTGAAATCAAAATGAGCAGAAGGTTTTAGAGCAATGTGAACTCGTCATTTCCATAACGAAATCAGTTCCTGTAGATAAATAACGTGTAGATAAATAGCGCGTAGAAAATTCAGGTATTCCCTAGGCAGCGCGATCGTCTGATATCTTCACCCTAAGATGTGTGTGTAACCCTTGGTACCGAGTGAGGACACACCTCTCCGTCCTTGCTTGCTGTCAGCAGCAGGTCATGTTGGTGTGACTTTGCTGCATCAAGCCCATCCAGACATAGGTGCTGCTTCACTCTTCGTTCGAGGGCTCTTGTTCAGGCCTGACTTACCCAGACCCAAGGTGGCAGAGTGAGGAGCATTGGCTGGGACAGTGTCCGTGCACCACGGAAAGCAGCACACGTTTGGGTAGGAAAGCTTTAGTCCAGAATTGCATTAAGCTGAAACGAGCAAGTGAAGGCATCCCTTGCATTAAGCTGCTGCGGACTGCGGGCATCCCCAGCTGCGGTGCCCCGTGCATGCCCTGCGGGCAGCAGCAGCAGCACCCTGGCTGGGCACCGGAGCTCTGGGCAAGGCTGCAGGAGGTGCCCGGGGGCCAAGGGCTGCGCGGGGGCCCTGCTGACGGGCACATGGGATCTTTTAAATGCACTTGCCTTGGCCCAGCTGCACTGCCGTGTCCCGTGTCAGACACAGGCACGCTCTTTGCCATCTCAGATACATGCCAGCTGATAAGTCGGGGTGGCCGGTGTGGGAATTGCATTGCAAGCTTAGCAGCACATGGAGTGTTCTGGAGTTAACACGGCTTCCCTTTACTGTGGACTAGTTACCTGTTCTTTTTTTTTTTCTTCCTTTTTTTGTGTCATTACATGTTCTCTGCTCTGCAAAATCAGCTCAACGTGCTCCCCAGGAGCAAAAAAACTGGTTTGTCCCTGCCCTTTCCAGGTCTCCAGCTGTTTGGCAGCTGTGCTTCAGCCTAGCTCAGGCTCAGCCTGGGATCGAGCGGAGCTTTATCAGTTGAGCTCCGAGGCGTTGATTAGCCCGATGGATCTTAACAAGATTAAAATTGCATCTTCCTGCATCAGTCCCCTCCTGTGCTGGAGGGGCTGCTCCTCCAGCCATGCTCTGCTGGAGCCTGGGGCAGGCGCAGCTGGAGGTGCCTTGGTGCAGCCTGGGGGAGGTGGTGACGGGGCCTCCCGAATTTGGGGGTAAGAGTGGCTCAAAGCGGGGTTGTGTGGAGGTGCTGGAGAACACTGAAACTATGAAAACGAGTGGGAATCAATGCTAACGGTACAGGGTGAGTGTTAATACTTGTTATTTAATTGTAGAAACCTAGATCATGCTGTTCCTTTTTCTTCCCCTTTTTGCTTTATTTGCACTAGTGTTTGAAATCTTTTTTTTTTTAGGCTGACTTGCTGTTTGGCTCATAACATGGTGTTTCAAAAATGTTTTAATAGTTTGGTAAGCATATCAATCATAGAGTCGCAGCATTTGGTGATAGCGCTCTGACCTCATTTCTGGAAAACATCAAATGCAGAGGGACGATGGTTACTTTGTGCAAGGCTTCAAAACCATGGAGTACCAAGTTTTTTTGTTGCTTGATAATTGCAAAGTTTCCTCGGGCCTGGGATGGTAAAGCAGAAGCTTGTTGCACAATTAGGGTTAATTATCCAGGAGGAGAAACTACCAGTGGCTCCAGCGCTCTTGCGACATTCCTGTTTCTCATTCCCACCCTCCCTGCATCCCCAGGACAGCGTAAAGGCTGAATGTGAGACTGCAACGAGTGTGTTCAAAGTCGAGCCGGGCTCCAGACCCATCCGTTGATGCAGGTGGTGTTGAGGGGAGGAATTTCTCTCCCATCCCCAAGGATCAGGCAGATGCAGCCAGACCTTGATGGAGCTTTGCAGGGATTGTTTTAAAGCAAACTGGTGCCCCCTCACCTCTGCGTTTGCCTCCCGGCTCTCCCGTGTGGGGATGAACGCTTCCCCCCGTAACTGCTCCCTTCTGAAAATGAAGCATTTGCTGTGAGTTTCCCTGCTTTCCTAGGGATACGTGCAGGTTCAGGGAATCCAAGAGTGGTGTGAGAGATGGGTTTGCTCTTTTCTATGAAAACTTCCAAGCGGTTTCAGCCGTTTCTGCGAGTGCTAGTTGTGGATTTCAAGTGCTCTTAGGGCCGGGGTGCCTCGCGCGGGCGATGCTCTGTGACTCCCGTGGTGTCGGTTACCCGCCTCCCACCCCTCGCCTGTAAATGCTGGCTGCAGGAGACGCAATGCCCTTTTTTCCCTGTGTTTTTAAATAAAGAAGGAAATCCCAGTCACTTTTCCAGGCTGTCCGTTTGCATTGTGTACTTTGGGTAATGATTGCCAGGGGTGTTGAACGCCGTCCCCGCCGGGGTGGGGGGACCATGGGGGTCACCGGCAGGTGGTCCCCCCATGTGCAAGGAGAGCAGCGATTGTGCGCTGGGGGAGCTTTAGGGATGCTGCAGAGAGCTGCCAAAGTCCTGCCTGGTGTCTCTTGTGCCACACTTACAGCTGGAGCCCCCTGGAGAACCCGGCTGCGGAGCTGCAGCCAGCTGGGCTCCCCGCCCCACGGTGCCCCACGGCACCCCGTGCCCCACAGCGCCCTGCCGGACACCCCGGCCCCCCAGCCAGCTTCAGTGGGGAAAAGCACTGAGGGGAGGGCGAAGGGCCATCGTGGCCTCTGCTTTGAAAAAGTTTTTGATCTTGTTTGTCACTGCTAGAAAACAAGGGGACAGAGACTAACTGGGTGAGAAGCATCCCCTACTCCCCGAGCGAGCGTTTGGTAAGGAACACGACAGATTGGGTGAGAAACCGTCCGTCTCCAGGCGATGTGCATCCTCCCAGCCCGAGGTGCAAGTTTAATTTTATTGCTGATGATGTTAAGACGGCTCCAGCTATTGCTCATCTTGAGCCCTTCCGTGGGTAAGTGTGTCCCAGTAAAACTCCTGGTTTAAACATTTTGTTACTTTTTTTGGTCTTGCTTTCAGCATCACGTTTTCCAGTAGAACTGGCTGAGCACACTTCTTGTGGGCATCTGTGAAGTGGGCACAGGCGCTGCTGCCCTGCACACAAGTCGGTTCTGGGTGTTAGAGGGGGCGAGCGCGTGGTGGCGGCGAGGAAGTCACATCTTTGCCTTTCTGAATACGTGGGCAGGAGGAGAGCTGTCGGACCGCTACCCCTGGTATTCCTCAGCTTAGTCCGTGACAGCCTCATGCACGGAAGGAATTCGAGGTCCTGCTGTTAGCTGGCAGCTGCCGGGCTGAGGACGTGGGGAGATGTTAATGACAATGGGCTTTTGCACATGGGATTATTACTTTTTTTTCTCTTTCTGGCTCACTGCATAATTTTTTCCCCACCGTGGGCTTTTCAGCCCTGTTGTTCCACTGGTCCGAAGAATGTGGTAGTTTCATGACGAAGCCTCCCCCCACCCCAGTGCCCTGAGACCTATTCGAAGCTGCCAAATTCAGATTACTTGTGACCTAAATGGGATATAAACCCCATTCCCCGGAGAGGAGGAGTTGTTGCAATAAACCACAAACCAAAACTGGAATAGGCAGAATTCCTGGCCAAACTGGAGTCCGTTGCAGCTCCACTGGAGGCAGAAGTAGGAGTAACACAGGCAGAAATTCGCCAAATGGAAATGGCTGGAGGGTCCTCGGTTTGCAGAACTGTGTGAGAATGGAGAGTGCATGTTTGCTGTATTTTACGTCAAACGTGACTGGACTTTTGCATACACAGGCTTTGTCTGGTTCTGGCTGTGACTTACTGCAGCTTCCTTTTCCCGTTTTTATTCAGCTCAGTAAGTTTTCAGGCTGCATCTGGTGGGGCTTCCTCTTTTGGGTGCGTGGTTGCTTGAAGCTCCCACTCATTTCGGTACTGCACGTGCCCTGTGCCGTGGCCCGGAGCCGGAGGGGTGACCGGCACCCTTCGGCAGCTCCGACCCCTTCCCAGCTCTCCGACAGCTCCTCTCCATTCCCTGCAGCTCCGGGTGGAAGCCAAGCCTTCCATCACTAATGAGGCAAAGCTGGTATTTAACAGTTTTGTAAAACACAGGTGGTTACCACTGAACGGTCACAGTTTTAAAGAATATGACTATCCAGCAGCAGGGAAAGGGAACGCAACCTGCTGCCACGGCAGCACGACGGGAACGTGTTTTGAAAAGCACACTTATTTACTATGAAGGGCAGGGGACAGGAGGAGAAACAGGTGATTTCAAAATAAGACATGTACTACTTTGGAGTGGTTGCAGTGCCCTACAGACGATGTTTCTAGAATATGAGCATGGTAGGGAGCATTACATCGATGCACACAAGTGCTTCTTTTGAGAGGCCTGAATAGTAACTTTATTTGCTGCACTGTGGCTTTCCCCGCCTGCGAGAGCGTGGAAAGTAATGATGTTCTCCAAAGGGTGCAGGTTCTACTAAACCTAACCCAGCTTCCTGTGCAGCCAGTGAACACGGTTTTAAACAAATAACGTACAATTAGAGCTCATCACTGCGCCACAGAGTGACGCATTGTGTCAGGTTGCTCAACCTTAAAGGTTTGCAAAGTCTAGTGACACAAAACCACGCGCTAGTGGCCTGTGTCTCTAGGTGGCTGTACGTATTCTATTAGAATTGAAAGTACGTGGAGTCAGCTCCTTCCAGACTTTATTAAGATTTGTTTGACCGCCTGTATTTGCAAGGTCTGATTTCTTAGACTGTCACTGCTTGAATGGGGGGGGGAATCCAGATTATATATTTTGCTTGCTTAAGATACTGAACAATTTTGTGTCCAAGGTTTGTACAGAGGAATTAACAAGAAGAAGTGTTCCGCACATGCAGTTACAGCTTTGTAAATCCATGTTTGCGCAAGGCAGAAGTCTGTTCTGATGCTGTGGGACAAGCAGAGGAGTCCGTCTCCAGCCCCGCAGAGGCGCCCTTAGCTTCTTTTGGGGTCAGCTCTGCTCCTCTCAGTACACGGTGCACCAGTTGCTGCCGTCGCTGGGCATCAGCCCGCCGGTGATGAGGAGAATCAGGTCAACAAACCACCAGATCCCCAGCCCTCCGAGAGTCAGCAGTTTCCCCACGGCGGTCCCGGTGTGGCCCAGGCAGAATCGATCCACTCCAAAGCAACCCAGGAAAAACGAGTAGAGCAGAGTGGTTATGAAATAGTGTCCCGTGTACCTGCAAGGGAGACGCGTTCAGGGGCGCGACAGGCGGGGGCTGTGGGGGGGGGGGGGGG